CAGAAGATCAATTGCACAGATAATATGGTAGAAAATATGTTGGACTGACCACAGGCAGGGTGCACACAATACAGTAGGAAAGTTTTTTAAGATCCATTTCACAGGTGTAAAAAGTGAAGAAAAAGGGAGGATAAAGAATCTTGTGAAGATGAGAGGCAAAAAAGGCTAGGTTGGCATATTTGAGGCTCATCTCTATCTGCTCTGTCATGTCACATTCCAGGTAGCAGCACATTCCGTGCTGTAGTCTATAAAACATATATATATATATATATATAAAAACATATATATAAAACATGCAGTAGGAAAGAATATCCCCAAAATCTTACAAGGGAAATATTAAATAGTTCTCAACAAACAGCTAAAGATCAGACAGACAGTGGAAAGCAGTGAGGCAAAGCTGAGCAGCCTGATAAGGAGCAAACCCTTCTTGAAACTTTTATTCCCATTCAGAATGGCTGTTTCTATCGTGAATAATATTATCACTCATGAGTGACACAGAAGAAAAGTTCAGAAATGGGAGGGGTTCTTTCTGAAGAAAGGCAGACCGAGGATATCAATACTGAAGGTTCTTCCAAGCATTTAGTCTCCAGAGAGATTGAGTGTTTGGTTCTTGCTGGAGTTGCTAATAGTATAGCTAATTGAGATGGTGATTCCTGTTGTCAAAAATATCTGCTAGAAAGAATGAGACAGAAATGAACTGCAGTTAAATGTAGAAAGCTCTCAGATACCACAGTAAGGGGGGAGATACAAGAATGTGTGTAAAATGGAGCAGTACAGCCAATCCTCTCCATAAACTGAGTCAACCATCTCTTCAACAAAAAAATACTTTGCTTGTTCTAAAGATATAACTGAGCTTGAGACACCACTGAAACTCTCAGTCTGAAACTCTAGCATCTCATTCCTGCCTATCTTATGTGAAGACATAAAATTCACAAACAAGATCCATAGTTTTTGCTCTCTTCAGTGACCACCACACTGAAAGACAGTAAGAGCAGATGGAATCCTTTCTTTTTCTTTTCTTTTCTTTTCCTTTGAAAAAGCAGCTAGCAGAACTAGAAAGGGTTATAAATAAAGCCCTGCTTACAAATTTTGAGTAATCTCAGAAACAGAGTTGCACTCTTTCACTAAATGGTAAATTTCTAAAGTTTTGCTTACATTTCTGCATGAACTCTGTTTTAAGGATGATTGCAATAATGCACCTAAATATCTTCTTCCTCTTATCCGTGACTGTGTTCAGGGTAGTTATAGTTTTTTCTTTATTTTTTAAGGGCGTAGTAGAAAGACATTTCAAACCCTCTAATTTAAAACACAGGAAAAACCCTGTTTTTCCTCACTCCAAGTTCTGTAGTGATTTTTGTGCCTAACACATATCTCTGTCAATGTCTCTTTGTAATGCCATTAACTTTACAGCACATGACATTTACAAAGTCTTGGGAAATGTGGAGATAGCTGTGTGTTCATTTCATTTTACAAGAATCTTCTACACAGATTAATTTTTCTCTCTGAACTCCTGCAGCAATTTAATCACTTGTATATGTTTGTAAATCCCTTTTTGGTGGTGGTTTCATTTGAGGAGACATTTCTGACTGAGAAGTTAGTAGGATTCACAGAAGTCCCACTGAAAAATTTGCTATCTCTAGGAGCTTCCCCACTGGAAGGCACTCTCTGATTCCCTTGGTGAGCTTTCCCCTAAGTCCTTTCATGCAGAAACAGCCAGAGAGACTTAAAAACTGCCTGTGGTCTTATTTACTAGTCTGTCTCATTTTTGCTGAGAAGCATCAGAATGTAACTTATTTCTTGGGGAGAAGCTTTTGGTGGCTCCAGGAGCAGAGCACAGTACTCTGCAGAATGATCTTCATCATGACAGGGAGGCACCTATGAATCTGTTGATCCTAAATCTCTTCTTGCTTGTGTTTTTTTTTTTTTTTTCATCTCATATGTGTAATAGTATATCATTAGATCCAACACACATTTTTAAAACATTGTTATCTATGAACATTTGCCTGTATGTGATCCATTAGTATATCATAGAATGGTTTGGGTTGGAAGGGACCTTAAAGACCATCCAGTTCCAAACCCCCTGCCGTGGGCAGGGGCACCTTCCACCAGACCAGGTTGCTCAGAGTCGCATTCCACCTGGCCTGGAACACTTCCAGGGATGGGGCATCCACAACTTCTCTGGGCAACCTGTGCCAGGGCCTCACCACCTTCACAGGGAAGAATTTTTCCCTAATATCTAATCTAAACCTACACTCTTGCAGTTTCAAGTCAAATAAGAGCTAAATGCTAATTTCTGTCCCTTGCTGTAACTGCTACTACCTTACCATGCAGTTGATCTTGGACTAGGACCAGCAGGTAGTTTCATGTTTTCAGGGTGGTACATTATCACAGCACAAACAATAGCTTGCAAATAAATGAAAAGACCATTTGCATCAGTTACCTTTTAAATTCCTTTTTTTTCCCCCAGCCTACCTTATGTGTAATTCAGAAAAAAAAAATCTTAAGTTTTGTGCATCTATGTAAGGGGTTTTCACCTTCCTAAACTGGGGAAGATGTAGCAGAGTGCTAGTCTCTCTAATAAGACATCTCAAAAAGTCAAAGCCATTATGATTTGCTGAAGATTTTCTAAATTCAGCAATGATGATCATGCAGGTTACTAGAAAACCTGAAAAGGTAACAAAGGCTTGAAGTTATGAATAGAATGAAATAATAAATTGTTTCTATTCATAAACCTTAAATAAAAAATTATTTTCTGTTCTATAATAAAAACATGACTTTTTGCAGAGGGTTATGGAAACCTTAAAGACCCGCTAGTTCATACTTCTGATTTTCCAGAAGCTCTTTGAGAAATCTCTAAATGAAATGTATGACAACATGATGTCCTACTTATTAGCCAACACTGTTTTCCCCTATGTATTTATGAATAGTAACAAAGGGAGGAAAATTATAAGGTGGAAAATTTTAGGCCCTTCTTCTATAGCACCTGTAACTCTTTTTTTTTTTCTTTGAATCACCACAATTTCATTATAAGTCATTAGGTCTAGACTCAGGGCTTCTTAAAAGCTCATCCTAAATTCTGGATGGTGCAAACAGCTCTTTATGTTTCTAGAAAAAAATTAATACATGGTGCAATCCTTGCATGCCTTTTCAGGTTATTGCATTTCATATTAAGAGAGAGTGCCATGTAGGGCTAATGTGTGATACAATTTTCTTTCTTTCCTCTTTTATCAACTAATGACACACAAAAAGTATAAACCTAGATTGCACTGAAGGGTGAGGGGAGAGGGAAGGCAGGCAGGCATTGCTCTCTAAGGAGGGAAGGATAATTGGATTTAAAAACTCTTTTGCTGTTAGGAAAACAGCCTTGGAGCCACGCAGGCCGATGGTGGGCTCAGCCTTGCTGGGGGCACCCTCAGCACAGCTACTCCTAAGTCATATTTCAGACCCTCAGGAAGTTTTAATATTAAAGAGTGAAAATGCCCAGATTTAATCACGTGCTGTGCTAAAGGGGATAACCTCTCAGGACTGCAGGAAGTATTATTTAAATATGCCTTCTTGGCCCTCCTTAGGTAAAGAGGAAATGGAACTTTATACAAAAGTCATGTTTATATGAATTTGGGGTATGGGGGATTTATGAAGGCCTGGTTACTGTGAAATTCATTCCCCCTGTAGGCTGTTAGCAGCAAAAATTAAATCATGGACCAGTAGATATCAAGAACTATGGGGCAAATCCCTTAAGCTGATGTGCCTAATGCTATTAGCTGGACTTCTGTAATAATACAGCTGTGTTGTTCTTCTAAACTCAAAGATTGTACACAAACACAAATAGACCAGGTGGTGATTGGACAAAGGTTGGACTTGATGATCTTTTAAGGTCTTTTCAAACTTAAATGATTCTGTGATTCTGTGAAGACAAAGTGTAAGTTATTTTATAGGCTTTATGAGGCAAATCTTCCAAAAATTACTTGGGTGTATATTTCTCCTCTTATATATGAAAGGGATTTTGTTATGCAGTCCAAATAACAACAGGTCAATACGATGCTAAAAATTAATATCTGTCATCTATTTATACATATTTAATTTGGTCATTACATATTTTGACTTGCAAGAAAGTTGTGTTTAGTAAGACTTTTTTAGGCTGTTGCACATTTATAGATAAGTATGATAATGCTTTATGACACTTTTTGCATATAATTGACCTTAGGATGTGCAGATTTTTGACTGATATCTTAACTGTAATAGGCAAAGTTGTTTTCAAAGTATATGCTTTATCCATTGTATATGCTATATTTAAATAGCAGTTAGAAAAGTATTTCTGTGTTCTTTGCACTGGGGGGAGTTTGATGTTTCCAAAACTCCAGGCAGCCATGGGATGTTCTGCCACTGAAATCAGGAGTGCAAAGTCTGCTGCTGCTTTCAGCATTTGTTGTGTTCAGCCCAGCCCAGCAAGGGTTGGAGACAGTGATTTTGATGTTCAGGTTAAGCCTTTGTTTGTCACAGCAAGAAGGCAAGAAGCAGTCAGGTGTATTCCTGTACGTGATGAGATCCCATATATCACTTACATGTGCTAATGGAATTCATAGGCAGGCGACTCAAAATTATGGTTTTTTCCCTTTGTACTATTTCCCATTTTATGTGCGTACTACATGGCATATTCATCCTTCTCTTTAATATTCCAGCATCTTTTATCACACCGAAATGAAGTGTGAAAATAGATGGCTATTAAATGTAAACACCAACAGCTCTTCAAAAAGTTCTCTTTCCTTCGCTTCCCTTTCCCTATTTTCAGCAGCAGGATGAAAAGTTATGTAGATGTTCTAAAACTGGACCGAGTCTTTTGACATATGGCATATTCCTCCCTAGGAATTAGCAAAAGAGCTGACAGATATGAACCACATATTTAACCTTTGCTACCAGAGGAGTGTCAACGTTTAAGGGTTATTGTTCAGGAAATGAGAACATCCCGATAATTGGTGAAATAAAGATTACGGAACATTACCTTTTATGTGAAATTCTAAAATTATATTTATTGGCCAATTCACAGAAAGTGCCATAGTGACCACAAAAAATGAATCTGGCTTTATACATGTACAGGACGAATTTTAAAATAACAGATTTATTTCGATTATGCATTGAACCAGTCACGTGGAAAATGTATGGATATTAACAATGTTGGATTCATAAATGACTGAGCAAATCGACATGACTTTTTGAAAGACACCACTATGCCATGGAAGGGGTTTTGTACAACTTCTTCCCGCTATATGTAAAGTTAGGTTTCATGTACTTTATTATGTGTCAAAATTTACTGTACATTTTCATATAGAAAGGGTTGTTTTTTTCTTTCTTTTTTTTTACACAGCAGATTGGTATCTGCTCAAAAATAATTTCATATTCACCTTTTTAATTGCATATAGTCATTTGATTCATCATCCTGCATAAATGGTATAGATTCATGCTTTCAGAAATGCAATTAGCATCTGCAAAAAGACATTTCAAGACGTGGTTTTATCGTTGTTTCACATAAACATTAAGATATTTCATGTAAGAGCTGAACTGAAGGGTCTGTTGGTTTGAGACATATTTAAGGAGTCACAACCATACAGCATATCTTTATTTGAATCCCTTCTCTGGTATATTTTTATTATCAATAGAAGTGGCCACAACTACACAAAAATGGGACTGCTAGGAAGCAATCCCAAGCTACAAAATACATGCTACCAACTGCAGTTACTGCTCCTCAATAAGAACTAATACACCAACATGGAAGCAATCTGGGAAATGATGAACTGTTCTACATTTTTGCAGGCAGATGAAGTATCACTTTTACTGTCAAACTATGATGAAATATGAAATAGAATTGTCCCAGCCAACTAGAGCACAGCTGCTACATTCAGCATGATGAGAATCTCTCACTCTCCAAAATCCTACACTCTCAGTAACGTATAAAATGTTTAATTATACAGTAATATAATATGGTTAATTTTAATTAGAACAACCCCTTTCACCGAACTGCAGCAATACTCAGGGTGAATGTCTGATTCCCGCTCTCCTGCTCATCACATTTTAAGTCATGTTTTAAAAGTCCCTTGCTCAGGAATTACTTTTTTTTTTTTCTTTTCCCTCTCCCTTTGTGTTGCAGCCTCCTCACCTTGCAAGGTTCATTCATCTTCCCACTTAGTCCTAGACTTCGGTTACTCTTCGAGCAATGGCTTGTTTTGGAAAGGTGAGAGGTGGCAAGTGACCTAAACCCTCTGATGGCAATTCATCTCTTCCTACAATACAGTTTGCACAATGCTGATTGAACACCTACTGGGGAGAGAGATGTGCTGAGGGAAGTGTAGAGTTCCCTAAAGTCCCCACAGGAAGCCTTTGTGTTCCTGCTCTCCCTTTCACACCAATCCTTGCAGACAGAGCAAATGAGGACGACGGTTTTATTTCCCTTGGGTCTTAGTGGGCACAGTGGGCTTTGAGCACAAGGATTTCAGTTCTGGGTTGGCTTTCAGGTACACAAGGCAGGAGTAGAAGGGGGAAACAGATCAATTCAAAGACCTAAGCTGACTGTGTTTATCCTTCCTGCTTGCCTGAGTGAGGAGGGTTCTGAGCCAGGGAACAGAGGCTTGCTTGAGGCATGCTTGAAAATGAACCATCTACTCACCATGCCAGTCAGAGACCATAAATGCATCACAAATTTGCAGTGTAATGCATGGCAGTAATCAGAAGAGCTGGCACAATTCTATTTCTTTGCAGCAGTTAGCACACGGCTGAAATCTTGAGCACTTGTTTTAGAAAGTAGGTGCATTCTACCGATGAGATTTGAGGAGAAGCAACACAATCTGTCTTAAATGAACATATTCATAAGAGTTACCATTTAGTGTAGGGAGACTTAAAAGCATGGGCACGTGAATGACAATGTCTGTTTTTACATTAATGATAGCAATCTCATTTTTAACAAATTACAACTTTGTATTATTGTTTGGTTGGCTCCAGCATTTATTGGTTGGCTTTGTTAAATCATACCGACATAAAAGACACTGCCAAATTCGTATAATGAGAACTCATCCATAGATTACAGAAAAGATTTTTTAAAAAATTAGGTTTCAATTTATTTTTTTAACCTTTGACAACCTATGCAGTGACACACACCAACACAGAGCACTTAACAGAGTGAACTGACCGTGACTAATTTAAGGAAATATCAGGGGTTTAGTTTTTGTATTAATGAGGTTTCATGAAAAGGTAAGAAATACGAGACTGAAGGAATGATTTGGGACAAGGAGGGATTCACAGCGTCTCTAATAAATGACCAAAGGCAACGAACTTGATTACTATCTAAAAATATTCAAAGGATATAAATCATGGTTAGAGGAATTATTTAGAGTGGTGCAAAAGGGTATAACTGGGACTAATGAGATAAAAATTACAAAAGGGATTATTTAAATTCATTTTCAGGAAAAGCTTTCTAGTGATGAATTCTGATAGGCTCTAGAACAATCTCCTAAGGGAAGCAGTAGGAGCCTCAGGGTTAGAAACATTTAAGTAGGTTGAAGCACCCCCACCCCTAACACTAGAAAATATATTCTAGGGAACAATTCTGCACTGTTAGCATAATAATACTGCACTACTTTTTATGTCTACTAATCTATATTTCTAGGATTTTATGAGTCTAGAAGCAACTTCTAAATGCACTGAAGTTTCGATGAAGCAGTTCTTAGGAAGCCTAACCCTACTGTGTATTACTCTGCAAAGCAATAACCCACTGTGGTATATCTTTCTATCCCTGTTGTGATGACCCTTTGTTCAGAACTGCCTGTTAACCACAATCAGGAATTTACTCAAGATTCTGGTGGTGCACTATTTGTAACAGAATATTTAATACTCTCATCTCGTTTCAGATGCAGCTCACATTTTTAGATCAGTTTGTGGAGAAGCCAATAAAGGTGCCAACAGCCGAGTCTGAGAACGAAGGTAATAACTTCAGCTCTTGAATTTGTTCAGGGACAATCGTTATCCTTGAAATCTTTTTGTATCATGTATATTGTCAAAAATCAAGAGTCTTAACTATGTGGTCACTTAGGAGATTTGTATCTGCACAACAAGTTTACTTAAGGGTGTTTACAATACGTAGTATAGTCTGTCCTGGGTGACCCCAGTTCTCTGTCAGCCTACAGAGTATACTGATGGTAGGAAATCTCTAAAAGTAATCAGCACAGCTGTCTGTGTCCAAAAGCTCCACTTCTTGCCTCAAATTAAAATGTGTGGTAACTGTACCCTTGATTTTGAGTCACAGCAGACAGAATGTTTTGCCCCAGACTCCCACGGGCCCTTCTTGGCCCCAAAATTTCCTGCTTTAATGTACGCACAATGTAGCAACACCTCTCCCAGTCTTGCTGCCTCCCCAGCTCTGCTGGAGGTAATGTAACTGTAACTAAGGAGAAAGCTATTGACAATTATAACCATGCTAAATAATTGGAGGTTCTAGTTCATTACCACCTCCATGGTGGGATTAAGTAGGTGATTTTTAAAATATATATATATGTGTGTGTGCATATACATGTATGTCATCTCAGAACCCTTCAACATCCCATATTCATTCTCTTTCTTGTTCATTCTGATAGCTGTAGTTCTGGACATGTTTCCATTTTCTTACCATTTGACACTCATGCTTTTAATGTCTTTTATTTTTTTCTACAAGATTAAATTCCAACTTTTTTCACATCAACTGTAAACTTTAACTCTTTCTGTTATTCACAAGGTATTCTCTTCTACTTTCCTGTTCACTCTTACCTAAATAACAACTTGATTTTATAAAAGAACTGACCCATTCCACGTTCCAAGAGCCTGCCCAGCTAAAACAACCATCCAGCTTCTTGTCTATACGTGAGCACATTAAGCAGATTGTAGACAAGAAAATTTCAGTACTGGTTTGGAATGTCATTGTATTCACAGACTTGGTCAGGGTTGTCTGAGCAAATCTTTTGTATCTGTTTATATATTTAGGGGAGGCAGCAGTAGAAAGAAAAAAAAAGTGCAATTTTAATAATATTTTTTCTTTTTTTCCTTAGGATATCATGAATCTTCAGCAAAAAATAGATTTATGGCTTAATACACCTAAAGACACTTGAAAGAATTTTATATCCAATCAGGAAGTTAAATGCCTCTGAAAACCCAAAACTGCATCCAGATTTATACAAAAAGAACAGGTAAGGCTGCAGAAAACCTTTTTACTCCCATGAAATTTTCTGGGTTTCTAAAGCATGAGAATAGAATAGGGTTGTAAAACCTTTGTTCTGTATTTGGAGACAGCCTCTTTCTGCGTCTGGCAGGCTTTATGCACCTTGCCTAGGGAAAGCTGAACTCTTTTACTGCACAATGTACTTAGCTGGGAAAAAATCCTCCTGCTCCTTTGTTCTCAGCACAGACATAAATAATGACAATACACAGCCATGTAGCTTCAACAGCTGATGAATGCACAATTTCCACACAACTTTTAGTGCTGAAAATAGGAATGAGGGCTTCTCCTGAACTCTGTTTTAATGTTTGCAGTGCTTTAATGTTTCTAGTCCTTCACGCTATTGAGAGAGTTTCTTTATAGGCGATAACTAATGAAGCACCAGCCCAAAGTTCTTGACCGTAACCATTGTGTCATTCCTTTTGCACATGCTCCACAATGAGGGCTATAAGCAGAGCTGCAAGAGAATTATTGAACCATAACACCACCAAGCTTTTTGATGATGCTTTTCATCTACAGGGCTCACAGCGCTTTGTGAAGGATGTCAGGATCACTATTCCTATTTGCCAGCAGAGACATGGAAACTGTAACTACCGAATCACTGTTGGTACCTACTCAAAAGGCAGCAAAATGCCTCTAGGGAAACAGGTTACCTGATCTGGTACCTGCCTTTTCATCACCAGGAATGAAATTATGAACATAAAAAATCCTTCTGGATTAATTTTATTCTGCTAAGATTCATTGATGTGGACTATAATTATTGTTTTAAACCACTTCGTTAGACTGAGGTTTATGAAATTAAAGACCTTGCTCCCCTTTCACTTTCGTGCTGTTCAAGGATTTTGCTTTTTATTTTATGATTATGTCTTCTTTAGGGAAAAACAAAACCAAAGTATACTAGGATTGAACCTTGCTACTCCTACAAAGGTAATGAAGTATAATTACTTCCTGAGATAGATAGATATGACTGGAGTAATTTTCCTTATATGTTTAGCAGAAATATTTCTTGAGATTCAGTGTTTTAAGAGAGTACGAGTTTTGCTCTGCTGTAACTTTAGTGGTCATCTTTATTCTTTGTGTATTTATTCTCCACACTAACAAAAAAGAAGCTGGATTCTAGGAGAGACTAACAACCTAGAGCTAAAGCAAAGCCTGATCACTGGACACACAAACTTTCATTGGTTCATCTGAGACTGACATCTCCTTCACTGTAAATCATGCACAATTAATAGGAATAAGATTAGTGACTTCTTAAAAGATGGTTTTATTTCTGCTGTCTTTGACAATCATTTTGGTATTTGTTTTTTCTTGTTTGCTTGTTTTTTTCTCCTATCTGCTTAGATCTGCCCAACTGTTAGAGGAGAACTTCTTTAAGCAGTTGCTCAGTTAAAGTCAGCAGCTATAGGGATCACCCAGAGGTGGATTAATCCCAAGACTTGTGATCAAAAGTAAGAGAAATATCTAGATGAGTCTACTGCACATTCAGGTTCTCCCAAATAATTCCACTCTTTTTATTCAGTTATTTTATCAGGGCAGAACCTGCTGATACCAGGATATCCCCGGTCTCAGCGGGGATATCAGGTTTTAAGCTATTCATTCATTCATTCATTCACATAGTCAGTATGTGTGAATTAAGGAAAGAGGAAGTCCTGGAGATATACTCGAGTTTTATTTCCTCTCCTCTCTAAGTATCCATATGTTTTTGCAAACATCCTTAACTTTTGTATTCTAATCTGTATTCCAGGAGCAGCTCAGTCCCACTGGCCCTTTACCTGCTGTCACCCCAGTACAGTCTTCCATTCCCCTGTTCTGCCAAGCACGGACGGCTGGAGTTGGAGTGAGTGCTGTGTGTGCTGGCACCAAAACTTTCAGAGGAGGAAGTGGTGTGTCCCAGAGTGCTGGGATCCCTACCAGGTAAAAGATTAAAGCTGCCTCTCAGGTTACAGGTCAGGGAAAGAGACAGCTGAGACACAAAATAGGTGCAGGGCTCAAAAGGCTTTGCCAAAGAGAACTAAGGGCTGCTACTGCATTACCCTCTGACCAGTCCTTCTCCTGGGGCTACTGATCTCCAGTGCCATTATTTTCAGTTTAAGGTCAGGCAGGGACAGCTCCTGCAATGGAGACAGTGGATTTCATCCCCACAGGAGGAAATTTATAACCCTCTGATCCTTTCTGAATCTTATTTTCTTCCAGAATGAAGTCAGGATGGTGCACAGGTGCTCAGCAAGCTCAGCACCACAACATGACAGAAATGGAAACAAACTGCTCCTTCCCATTAGCCTTTGGCAAGGGAGATCATCACCAGGTAAAAAGCAGTCATACCACCACTGCAGGATATTTTTATCTGTTGGAATGAACAAATAGCAACAGTTTATTTTAATTAGTACTAAACCCTACGTCTATTTCTGATTTGAACTGGTATCAGCCAATGTAGTAAATATTGAGATTAACCTTGACAACTGTGCATTTTAAGGTTTACTGGCAAAGATAAAACACCTGTGGAGGGGGTAGAAGTGAAAAAAAAAAAAAAGAAATGAGAGGTATTAATCATGAATGGCCACTTAGGCAGTTATATTAATTCAGACAACATCATATATCACCATCTGGAATTTGCATTTGTAGGTTTTGCAGCTTTTCCCAGCCTTAGATTAGAATTTTAAAGATTTAGAGGCATTATTGATGTGATGTCATTTTAGACCTGTGCTGTCACAGATTCCTGTATTATGGGTACCTCTTCAAAAATGTTTTCTCTGGATACACTTGTTTATTGCTACTGTAGAAAAGTTGACCTCACGACATTGAGGTGCTGGAGTGAGCCCAGAGGAGGGAATGGAGCTGGGGAAGGAGGCTCAGGGGTGACCTTCTTGCTCTCTACAACCACCTGAAAGGAGTTTATAGCCAGGTGGGTGTCGGTCTCTTCTCCCAGGTAACAAGTGACAGGACAAGGGCAAACAGCCTCAAGCTGTGCCAGAGAGGTTTAGATTAGATATTAGGGAAAATTTCCTCCTTGAAAGGGTTGTTAGACATTGGAACAGGCTGTTCAGGGCAGTTCTGGAGTCACCATCCCTGGGGGCTTTAAAAGATGTTTAAATGTGGCACTTGGGCACGTGGGTTAGTGGTGGGCTTGGCAGTGTTGGGTTAATGGTTGGGCTCGATGACCTAAGAGGTCTTTTCCAACCTCAGTGATTTTACAATTCTAAACACTTCTTCCAAAGGACAGGAGAGACTTTTAGCTTTTGATTAGGGGGAAAAAACCCACGTGTGTGTATGTATGCACACATATGTGTTCTGGTTTCTTGGTTTTGGTTGGTTTTTTTTTTAAGCAAGTAGTTTACGTCAAAAAATAATTCATGGAGGGAAGGAAATATTGTTAAAATTGTTTTAGCAAAAGTGATATTTCTCTGATTTTTCTATAAGTAGGCTTTTGCTCAGGAAGCCATTGCTGTCACTGCTATACAAATATTCTAGGGTTCATTTTGTGAACAAGAAGTATCTCGTTCTCATTAACATTTGGTGAAAAGGATTTTTCTGTTTATTTGAATGAAAAAGCTGCATAATGCAGTCCAATGAGTTATCTAAAATAAGTACAGTGAAACATTTTAGTTTGCTGAATATCTTATTGCAAACCAAATTTTAGTGATAACACACATGCCTGTATTACTTTGCTTAGGTTTAAAAATGTAGGTTTATTTACAGTAGAGAAAATACTTTGTTTGCTTCTTGTGTAATGTATGAGTACAACCTGAAAAGATTTGCTTCCAGTAACACAAAGATAAAAGTATTAGATGGAGAAACACACTGATGAATTCAAACAAACATATAAAATAATTAAAGGCTGTCAATAAGGTTGTAAATTGCTGTTTTCAACTTGCCTAAGGTTTGCTATGATAAAAAAAACCCACTAATAATAATCAGGAATAAGAGAGACTTAAAATAATTTAAATCCAGTTTTAAATCTGAAATTTACTTTTAAATATCTACTTTTAATTTTAAATATTTTTTTTTCTGAGCAGAAAGATTTGCTGATATGCTCTGATAACAAGCACCACGAAGAGCCTGCTTCATGTCACTAACAAAAATTAACACTAGGAAAAGATTTAGGACAGTAGGGTGCTAGGAAATGATCTAGCATAAAATTTTAGTTCAGGATATTCAGAAATGTTAATATTAATCTTTTATTAAACAGAAATTTTGGACATTTTTAGAGTTGTTATTCCTGCAGATAAATTGTATTTATGTGGGCTTGATTCTGCAAATATTCTTCTAAGTTTAGTACATCTGAGAGAATAAAAATGAAACACAACTGCTAATGTAAGAAAACTCCTGTATTGCCAGTCTTAACAGTCACATGACAAGATGACTGTCGGCACAACAAATAAAATCATTGAAGATTTCTAATTTTAAATTTAATATAGAGGTTTTTTTCATTTGCTTTCTACTTATTAAACTACAGGGCCTAGTTGCTGTCAATATTTCCCTTCAACTATTAGATGCAGAAACTGGAATTAAAAGAACCCCCAAACCCACAATATATTCTCTATGTTCCAAGATATTCAGGAGCTGCTGATAATTTAGTATTGAGGGGGATGGATACCCCAAAGATTGCTCCACTTACGCTATGCAACACCAACTACCACTCAGGGGTGCTCAGGTAAGACTGCTTGTTTCCCTGGGCAAGTGGAGCCGAGGAAGTAGCTCATTCTCAACAGCAAATTACAAAAGCAAAAGTCAATGATGAAATTGTAAATGATGTATTTAGGGAAAAAAAAAAAACCAGACCAGACAAGCCACTAAGCAGCATTCTCTTCCATGCCATTTTGTTTTTATGCATTAGAGCAGTTTTCCTAGCAAGTGCTGCAGCATTTGGGATGCAGAGAAGTTGAAGATGCAAAGGAAAGGGGACAAAAAACACACCACACAGACTTATCAACACATTGTACGTAGCTTTGCTTTTTTTTTTTTTTAACATTTTAAACAGTGTTTAAGAAAAATATGCTGTGTTACCATAACAAACTAAAATAGTCTCTCAACCTCTTAAGAGTTTAGTTTTTGTTTTCAATTATTTTGGTTCCAGGTAGGTTCTATTTCTCCTTGTTCTACTTTATAAAACCTTTTCTCAACATAAATGGCTTCAGGAAGAAGAAATAAGGGAGAATTATGAGCACAAAAGAGAGCTGACAGTTGTGTATGTTGTTCCTTTCTTTTGTGCCACTATAGGTGGGCAGGAGTACAGAAGAAATAGGGTATAATGTTTTGTAGTCACACAGGAATTCCAGCTGGCATTCACTAAACAAAAGGGAACATTTTCCTCATCTAAAATAATTGTTTAAATCCCAGCCATACATAGCTATGGAATAATGGGGTCACTTATTTTCCACTACTTCAGTGCGATGCTGCAGCAAGCTAATGATTTTACGAGACAGACGGTTTAAAGCATCGATTTGCTGCAAATTGCTCAATCCATAACTAATGAGCAGCTCTACAGATTTTCAGTGAATCAATCCCATTAGAATTTACAGTTTGCATAAGATCATATCACTCAGTCTGTGGACACAGAATGAGTTGGGTGTTTTTTGGGTTTTGGTTTTGGTTTTTTTTTTTGTAACCTTCAGCAGCCCCTTGTTGCTGGTTTTATTAAACTCTCTTAAATTTCTGTTGGTAGGCTGGATAAAAATCCCTCTCTTGAGGGTCTGACAGCATGCCTGAAAAAATACACAGTCCACTTCTACATAGGCACACATGCATTCCATGTGAGGTCCTAGATATTCCCTTGTGAGAGACAGTTAAATCCAAGAAGGCAGGACAAGATGATAAATGGAATTCAGTCTCTGTCCCCTGTAGTGCTAAAACTCTGCCCCAGTTTGGAGGTGGATTATTATTTATACCTGTAGGAATGTGAAGTCAATTGGTAACTGTTATTTGGACCCATACAAGTAATTCTTCATAACAAGCTGAAATCTCTCTTATATGAAAAAAACCACCAACAAATGAAGGCAAAAACCTGTATGGGTCAAGTGACAGGACTTTTGTCACATGTCTGTAGTACAGAAATAGGAAATAAGAACTATGCTTGCTAACAGATCAGGTTCTAGTTACTTTATTATTACTGGGTAGGCCAGTAGGTTTGTACCATGTTTTCTCCAGGCTTTGTAAGAAAAGGGTCTGTTCTATCATTGCCAATTACTACAATAAGATCATTTTAGGCAGAACAGTTATAGGCAAGCAGCAGTTCAAATCCTGTCAATGCATTCATAGACTCTGAAAAACCATTGTATTGGTTGTTACAAAAGTGTGATGTGGCTGGAGGGCTGTTAGTATGGGAGTGTGGAATCATCCCACTCCAGCTGCGCTTGCCTGGTGGCATTCTGTCTGTCTCCCTTTTGGACAACCACTTCCTCTTCCTCCTCTTCCTCCTCCTCCTCTTCACTTTCATCCGATTCAGCACTGGTTGTGTCTTCCTCTTCATCTTCTATGTCTTCTTCCTCACTCTCCTCTTCTGTCTGGTGAGGCTTTTCATATTTCTACAGTACATTTAAAGAAATGAAAGAGAGACAGTGGGAGAAAGGTAATTTCTTGCTAATCAGTGGCTGTGATAATTTGAGCATGTAGTCCACATTTAGAAATGCTAACATCCTGAGAAAATCAGATTTCCATCATTACATGACTATGAGGCATCGAATTTGGTATGACTCGGTAGCAAATATTCAAAAACTAATGTAAGAGGAATAGAATGTCAATAACCAATATCTTTGTTAGTCATGCTACCAAATTTTAAGCCACCAACATCAGTTTCTTTCAACTCTAATAACAATCTCCTCTCCTTTTAGTGAATTAGTGCTCACAGTAGCTACCAGCCCAGGCAGTGACTGCTGGCAGTGACATGATCTAACCCTGTGCCTCAGGTGTGTACCTCCATGGGGTTGACAGTGATGGTCAGAGCGGAATCATCCCAATCCATCTCGTTGTCTTTGCTTCCCTCGTGGTCGGCAGAGCCGTGCTGGTGAGCTGTGCGGATCCGATACACGCCCAAGGTTATGACGAAGATGAGGATGCTCACACAGATTATGATCACAATGGTGGCCACGCTCGGAACAACTGCAACAAAAGGTGGGAAAACTTGAAGTTTGTGGAACAAATCGCCTAAACCCCGCTAAATACGCTGTCAATTTTTAACCCACAGCATCTCTTTCCTTATACTGAGGATCAGGCCAGCCATCTGCCATGTGCCTGGGGCTACTGAAAGTGTTGACAAGTGCCCACCTACTAAGGCAGAGCATACAGGAATGGTGCTTACAGATATCTTATAATGAGCATTATAAATCATAGCTAAAAAGTGAGCATGCCTACCATTTGTTCTTTGGGCCACTTTACTACAGAAGACAAGTATTCAATCAGAGCAGAACACATTGGTTTCAGGACAAGTGATTTTGCAATAAGGTGCCCTTTTCTTACCCACATTTTGGCCCCTTCTGACCCCAGCTGAGGTGTCAACTTTGCTTGGGAGAAAATGTGCATCTCAAAGGTTATAAAGGTTTCAAACACTTATACTGTGATTTGAATCTCATTCTCCAAGAAATAAAATAATGCATTGCCACTATATTTGCCTGCGTTACAACCTTCCTGGGAGACTCCTGAGGATTCAAGACATTGTTCCTCACTGTTTGGTTGCACTCTGAGAAGCCTCTGCCTCCACCTAGCCAGAGGAAGAAATCTCTCTGAACTAGCACATATCAGCTCCATAAATAGGTTAGTGGAGAAGCGCTGCCACTTTCTGTGCACCCTTGTTCCTGAGGTACTGCAGTTCCAGCAGCTATAGTAGTTCTTTAGCCCATTCTATCATCTTGCCCTGCCCATAAGAATGGAAGTCTAAAATCAGAATATATTAAAGAAGAAAGAACTAGTTTGCAACAGTTTATTTAGTAAAAATTTGGTTTCATTTTAGTGAACTGCCTGTACAAGTGTAAAGAAAAATACAGTAATCTTCTAAGCATATCTGTATAAAATTGCTTATAACCACCTACACTTTGCATCAGCTTTACATATGTATCATTCAGCTAAAAGGATTTCAGAACCCAACCTTTAAAGAGGTGTCTAAGCCCTGGCTTTAACTTTATTGAAAAGGTTTCAGATTTCATATATATTTTAAAAATATATTTTAAATTCTGTATTTAATATATGTTAATGCCCACTGCACGTGGCTAGGTGAACGTATCTTCTCTCCAGAGAGCTTCAGGCTGAGGCCTTGACAGCAGCTAACAGAGCCACTGAGGCAATTATATATTTAAAAAAATAATACAAACGTTTCTTCCTTTTGTTTGGAAAAGAGTGGGTGGAAATTGATATGCCATAGAAATACAGATGAACAAAGACAATATGAGCATAAATATCACCCTTCATACCACTCAAGAGTAGAAACAAGACATTTTCTTAACTGTGTGGGTCAGAGTACAAAACCATTAATGAAGACCTTAAAAAAGGATACCAGGTTTTAATGACAGGATAAGAATTCAACGTTACCCTCCTTTCACACCTGTGGAACAGTCTCTGTGAGGTTTTCCAAGCTGTAACTCTGGACCTCAGGGCTTTTGTTTGTTGCCCAGGCTGGCTCACAAGGGAAACACTGACATACCTGAATCATTATGAGCAGTCTCTGTAAAGGTGTCACATACCTGAGTTGTGAACAGCACTTACACTCCCCTCAGGGTGGTGAACAGATTGGAGAAATTGTGGTTGTACTATCATATGATTTACATGGTCCATGAAGTTGGAGTTGGAGCTGTGTAGAATATTAACCTGGTACAAGAGAAAAATAAGGGATCAGATACTAAAAAGTGTTTTATATTCCAAGCCTGCCAGCTCCGTATATTACACTGAAGTGTGAAGTTCATGAGCAGATAGGAGCATTATTACATAGGTCTTTCAGGCCAAACTAACTCTTTTTATGCCAGTAAAAAATACACAGCTTGATATATTTCCAATTTCTATCATGAACAAAGCTTTCTAACGTTTCTAGCTGTTCACTATGAAGTGGCACAGAACAACTTTATTGACTAACCTGTCTGGATAAGTAGTGACTTTTTCTTCTTTACATACTAATTAGCTTTTAGGTATTATCTAAACATAACACGAAAAACCTTTATTTTGTTAACAATTATTAAGTTAATAATTGCTTATAAAGACAACTAACAAGTTTTGACTCTGTTGCTAAGAAGGCCCTGCCCTTTCCTGTGGTAACTTGGTATCTGGGCTCTAGGCTGGATAAGAGAGTTCTTCATAACAAGTCCACGAGTCCTGCAGAGGTGAACCAGCAGTAATCTCAGTCCCTGAGCCACTGTGTTGCACTGGCCTTAAAACCAGCACACATGGACTCAAGAGAGGTATCTAAAAATTCTTGTGGTTACTGACCATGTCTGGGGAGTGGATCCAAAGCATTTGGTGTAACAGGAGTAATTCTCTGTGTTAGTGGAGTTTGAGAGATGGGTCATCTCCTCAGTTCACAGCATGATAGAGACCCACACTGAGGAATGCCCACAGAAGTCGACTTCCTATTTGAATGGAACTTAGCACTTTTTTCTCTTCTTGGTTACACTTACCAGAGCGTGTCAATCATCCAACATATTTTAAAGAAAACACCACGCTGCTGAAGCTGAGGCCAGTGCTCAGCCTCAGTGCTGGACAGGAAAGCCTGACTGAATAATTGCTTACCTCCAAGTTGAATTCATTGCTCGTGTAACGCCCGTTTAGCTCTGAGCACTTGACCCTGAACTTCCTGTCGAAGGTGGCCGTGGTGTCCCAGTTTCGGTACCGGATCTGCCGCAGAACCTGCTCGTAGTTGAACATGCTGTCCACACCTGCAGTGGGGGCAGAGCAGGGACAGGCTCAAGGGGAGGCCATGGAACATTGCTCTGTGCAATGCAGGAGAGACCGAACGCTCACAGCAAAGATGAAAGTTGGCAGAATGGTCTGAAAATGAGAGAGCGTCAAATACTCCCTGATAGAGCCTCTGGCTGATCCTGGACTATGTAAGAAGAGTTTTTGGAAGTGAATGCAGGTCCATAATGGAGAAGGAGAAATACAATAGCAAAGATATAAAATAAATTACTTAATAAAAAGAAAAAAATGGCCAATGAATTACCAGCACTGTACAGAAGGAATCTCCTCATTCCCACATGTCTCCCAGCAACCAAGTTAATTCTGTGGTTCTGTGTGATTCTATGATGGTCCACAAGAACCCCACATTTAAAGAAAGCAGTGATGCCATTTTCCTTATTTGGGGAGTAGCAGGAGGGATGCTGAGATTCCAAAAGATAAACACAGCACACCCAGAGATCAAGAAGTGTCCGTGCTTTTTTGAGATGCAGTCCCTCTTGGAATATTTTTACAGCTAGTAAATCACAGATTTCTGTCTAATTAATTTCTTACACATTAGTGTTTTCATTCCAGTAATATAATTGCTGTGACAAAATAAGGGAAAGCAAATTCTATTAACATACCATAGATTGAATATCCTGCTGTGGAATTTGTGGCATCTAGATGTTTTCCTTGGAGCTCCACGTGATCCAGTTCTAAACACTCTTGTTCAGGATCTAGTTCTGCACCCATGACCAAAACATCACAGAAATCCAAATTGTGGAGCATTTCCTCTACTATCACTGGCTTATCAGCTGTGAACCCACGGCACATATCATGAAAAAAAGAGGGAAAAGAAGATAAAGGATTACAGAACAGCTCAGTCATTTTATGTGCTTTGCATCAGGGCTTTCAATTTTTGCAAAGATATCTGAACTGTTTTGTGCTGATATTAAATACAGGATACTTGAAACAAATCAAGAGAAATGTCTTGTCTGTTCTGGTGCCAGGATGATGAAGGCCTACAAATACCTAGTGAGATAGACAGAAAATATATTGCTCTGTAATGAAAGGCATCCAAGAGCATCACTGGAAGTAGAAAACTGAAATTTGATCTTGGAAATAAATTCATGTAAACAATTCCGGTTTTTAATACTGTATCAATACCAGGCTGATGCCACACATTCCTTTTTTTTTCTCAAGGAAAACCAAATGGGAAAAATACACATCAAATATATCTATTCTTGCTTGGATGATTCTCTCAGTTCCTCTATGGCCCATAAAGAATTTGCATTACAAAGACATGGCCATGTATCCAAGAGCAGGGTATTATCATAAATGGCAAGATCCTGTGTTGTGTGACTTAAAGAAATGAAGTTATAAACCGACTATCCTTCAGTATGTACGAGGAAAAAAATAATTCTGCCACTGTAAAAAGAGAAATGTATCAAGTTATCAGTTAAATTCTCTGATCTACTTAGCACAGAGCATGTGGCAAGACTGCTTACCCAGCTCCCTGAGGGCACTGCAGACACAGACCCTGCAGTCTTGGAACTCACTGCCCATTTTGTGCATCTCACTGTACAGGGTGTTGGGGAAGGAAGGCACAGACAGAAAAGACTCATCCCTGGATTCCTTACTCCTAGTACAGTGGATTTGGGTATCTGATCTCTAGGTACAGCTCTAACCTACTCAAAAATGCAGATCCAATCCAAATTTTCAGGCTTCAGGGAATCCATGCCCCTAAACCAGTAAATCATCACCGATTTTATCTTCCCCAGAGCTGTACATCTAGTTACTGCTTAGTTTAGTCCAACAAATACTGCTTAGAATGATTCCTTAGATTACTAGACCTTTCATTTACCTTGTATACAAGCATCCAAAAGGTAGATTCCTTTCTAGACAATTATTTTAAGCCTGATTTATACTTTTGAACATTCACACAGCCTTGAATAATAATACACACATTGCTCAGCATTAGAATAAATTGTCATCATTGAAAAACATATTTTAAAATTATTATATTTACATTTTACAGTTGGGAAACTGAGGCACACGATTACCTTCTCAAGTATCACCCACAAGTCAGTATCAGAGCTGGAAACATACAAACAGTCTAAAACTAAAAATTCAACTTTCATTCAATTACTGCTTTTCACTTTATTAATACAATTAGCAAAATTCTGTTACAAATAGAGAGATTCTAATAAAAATAAGTTATTCAACAGATTATGAAGAGTTGAAAGGAATTATTTTGAACTAGGGAAGGCACTAAATATAAAATCTGGGTTTTTGAAGCACATTTTGATCTGTCAAAATTTAACACATTTTTCAGTGTATTTAATTGAATTTCTTCAGTACACCATTACTGTGGCCTAACATTGCTTAAATTAATCTGGGTGAATTTACCTCCTTTGCATGACTTTTTTGCACTGTCCCTTAAAAAATATGAGGGTTTATGTTACAGAATAAATAATAACATTTAAAAGAAAGACTCAAACCTCTCTCGTGTTCTTTTAAGTCCACTGGATGCTCCATTTTAGTGACTGTGCTGACAATCCTGATGTCAGGTAACAAAATAACACCTCTTTCACTTTCAAACTGTGCAGCTGGTCTAGCAAAGTGATCCATCCCAGTTATTGTAATCTTGGGCTCGTTGGCCTGAAACACCATTACATAGGCATCTATATCTGGGATATTAATGCAGACATCTTCACCAAAACACCTGAAAAAAAAATTATTATCCATTAACTGCTTGTAACACATTGCACATCAGAGGTGTGTGGCACTTGCACTGCCCAATCCCCACCTGGTGGCTCTCGGACCTGCCTCTTCCACCCTGTGACACTGCCACAAGCAGGGACACACACCTGTCCCACCATGTCCACAGGCCAGCAGGGAGAGCAACAGCTCTGTTCCCCTCATCCCCTCCCACCTTGACAACTACCGAAATTATGCAGAGACAAGCTCAGTCTTTCATAAGGGTACTGTGAGAATAACATTTTGATGTTTATCTGACATTTAACAACAGTAGTGAATGGTTAAAAAATAATTAGATGATAACAACTATAGTAAACCTATCAGTAAATTCTGAAAGTGATATCTAATGAATATAATATGGTTATCTTGTCACATGTGAATAAAAGGGCCTAATTATCCATTTAAATTGGTCCTGTCATGAATTCTTTCTGGCATCCTCCAGCATTTGCAAGGGAGAAAAGGTTCCTGTACCAGCATTTCATCTGAATCAGCACTGTGCTTTGGGATTGAATCCCCTGACAAACTCTAACTTATTTCATCCTGGCACAGGGCTTGAGCCAGCCTTGGAGTGTGCAAACTGGACTGATTCCAGTGAAAAATACATCAGGAAACGTTCTATAAACTGTTTGGTCAGCCCACAGCACTGGACTAAGCCTGGTACTTAGTGAGAACTGTGCACACAGCAGGTGAGAGTCCACAGAACTGATGTTTATTTTCACTCTAGACCTGCTCTCCCTGCACTGTACAACTGTCCGTGCCAGAGATGTGCCCCAGGGGAGCCCAGGAGTGGCTCCCTGGACATGTAGAACTGTAAACATTACTGAGCAGGTTCTGGCACTGTTGCTGCACATAAATGGAAGGACACAGATTCCTGTTTAACACCACCAGTATTTCAGTGACAGTAGGCATATGAGGAGACAGACAGACAGACAGACAGACTATTCCAAGTAAGGGTACGAATCCCATTCTGTTAGATGTAATAGGCCTGCTTTAAAAAGTCACAGCTCTACCTATCTCAGAAGGAACTATAAAGGTTTAAAATGAAAAGTAAATATGAATGCCATAAATGCATTCAGCCCAGACTATATGCTCCAAATTATAAACAGAATGCAAGTACATTACACTAACAAGAAAGGTTCCTTAAAAGGATAATATCAAAAGAAAACCGCCATGTGAATTGGCATAAAAGTAAATTAAATTAATCCTTTATGCTCAATAACAAGCCAGTATGATGTACCGATTTAATTTAGCCAAAATTCTTCCTTTTTACATGCCCAAAGAAAAAAGTAATTCATTAAAAATATTCCTAATCTAATCAATTCAGCTGAAGTATAACTTACTGGACTTTAGATGAGACTTTGAGACGTCGTACGCCTGCAGTAGGGAACTGTCTGGAGTTGATGTATGAGACCTTTCGGAGAGCTTGATTTATATTCTCAATGTCATCTCCTTCCATGACAAGGACTGACTGAGAAGGGTTGAAGTGATACTAGGAGAAATACACATAATTAGTATTTAAGGTACTGGGTACAGAGTACAAAATAAGACATTTTTAAGGAACATTGCGCAGGCATAAGTTTAAAATCTAATGATGTAAGGAAAAAATATCTTAATAGCTATTGTTGGCTGAACACACACGTTGTTCCCTAAAACATGGACTTGTATCAGCCATCTGTTTCATATCTGAAGAACCACTGTTATAATAATTTTGTAGTAAATTAATCCCAATTTCCTGGTTTTTGCCCAGTCTTATCAACTTTGCTGATACTATTTCTGCAGCAATTTCTGATACTGTATTTTTTTGAACTCTGTAGAGTTCAAAACCTTACCTTACCACCACGATTATTATTACTATGTAATCTTTTTAGGTTAAACACATCCCCCATATAAAAACATTGGTTTGAACCAGACTAGCATGCAGAAAGCATATTTTGGCTGCTTTCTGTGTGGCTTTACCCTGGGCTACCTTTCTGAGATATATTTCAACATGAATGAACAAAACAATTATAACATTTGCCTCCTACGTCTTCATTAATGTCAGACACAATAAAGGGGATTCTCAGTTCTGTCTCATGATCAATAAGGGTGTCATGATTTAAGATGGAGCTGCTGCTTGCACAAAGCAAGCTGTTCCTCTGAGCCAACAAACCCTGCAAAGTCAATGGCTGCTCTTGTAGCCCTGAACCTTCTCTACTCCATTGCACTGAACACAAAACAGCCTTGCTGACCAAGGAACTTGCTACTATTGTGACGTAGCAAATGATCGATTTTTCTCTCCATCATAATTAATTCTGATTCCATTTTTTGTTTGTTAATTGGTTCAGCAAATCATCTGCATTGCAGAGAAAACCATCTTAACCCCCTTGATTTTGTACCCTACTGTTGTCAGCACGAAACACAAAGAAATGCACCCTTTTCTCACATGTAGTCCCTTCCTGAAGCTGGATATTGATTATATGAACACGTTCTATTATATACAGACAATGCCTGCCAACACTTCCTTACAAGAAGAAAGGTTAAAAAGCAAAAGATCAAACAGACTGTGAAGAACAGAATGAAGCTCAGGGCTCTCTGGCGAACAGAACATGGAGGACTGGGTTTAAAGCTTGTGCAAGAAGGTCATAACACACTGAAGGGTATTTTTTAACAAAGAGAAGAACTAACATGAGTCACAGCCTGCATCCACTTCTTTTTCCTTTCTGTAAGCTAGCAGTAGTAGAGAATAAAATTAGCAAAAGGAGACTCTAGCTGCCAGAACAGCTGGAATGCTGCCAAAAGGACTGGAGAAAGCCCTAGTCTGAGCCATTTTTGTCTTTCTCATTAAAAAAGGCTAAAAATAGCAACAGTTTAGACAGTGTTTTTGAGAGCTGCTACAGATATCTGAAAATTAGGCTGCAGACCAAAAACGTCCAAGACTATCGTGTCAGAAACTGTATCACAGCTGCACTGATCTTTCTGAGGTGATTAAAGGGTGAATCTTCACGAGTCCCAAGTGCCCAGCAGAAACACCTTCCAGCATCAGTTTGCCAACACTGAATCTGCAAAGCATCATGTAAACAGCCCCACAGAACCCATCACCTGTGCAGCTGTCACACGTGCCTGCCTGAGATCAGGTACGTTCATTTCTGACACCAGAACACCTTTCTCTCTAATTTTCTGTTCAAGGTCAGGCCAACTGCTCTGCTTTCATCTGAGCTTCTTTCTGTCAGCCCCCAGAAGAAACCCTACCACAATCTATCTCTGCCTGCTCCTTTCATGTTTGCCTCCTGCTGTTGCACTCGCTGAGGTAGTAAAAGCAAATCGGTAGCTTTAAAAAACCCACTGTGCCTCATCTCTATTTCAGAAAATGAAAGTGTTTTGAAGGTTTGCAAAAGAAAGAAAAGGCAGAAAACAAGCCCTCATCTTCCTTTTCCCCACACCACTCCTGTACTGTGAGGAAAACAATCCCCCACACTGGAGCACCAGTGAGTGGTAGAACAGGGATTTTTCCAAGCCCATGAAACTAGAAGACTCAAATATTGTCAAGCTGCAGAATGCAATAGTGGAGAAATTACTGTGCTTTCAAGCACCATGGACTGAGTGTACATTGCTTTAGTTCATGTAAAAAACCAGCAAAGAACTTACTGTTGGGCATATACTCCTGGATTCCAGGAATCCCTACCTGCTCCTTGTATGCACTGCCTTTTAAAAACAGGATTTATCTATCCCTGTGTCACGTTGCTGTGAGAAGTAGTAATGTGAAATTCTTAATGATGTCCTTGGTAGAATGATAAAACAGCAATTCTTCGGGGTGTTTTGCTCATATATAAAAGTTAGAGCCAGCAAAACTCCTCCTTCCCTTTGCACTTTCAATTTGCATTTTTACCCTTCTTTTCAGAAAACATATCAGCTACACTACAGACTGCAACCCATCCCCCAGGCAGACACTGGAGTGTATTTCAGGTCAGCCTCCTATCTCATGCAATGAGAGGTTTAGCTAATAAAATGTAGCACGTGGCACTCCCCCTGCAAGCTGTGCATGAAGTGTTACAGCACCACCTTCCTCCCCACTCAAAAACACCACACTGAAACCACACTGTGCAGTTTCACAGGATGCAAAGTAACTTCCCAGTTTGGAATCTGAAGCTCAGCTCCTTTGGAAGATGGTATCTGTGTGCTAGGAAATAGCATTTACACATTAAGCACAAGAACACTGGTCAGCTAACAGTAAAATGCAGCTCATATGAGCATTACAGAAGTTATAGCCAAGATCCTACATATGTATCCAGAGAACAGAATTTGTCTGAATGAATGCAAAGTAATCTGGCCACTATGTCAACTGAAACAGGATTTCCCTCCCCTGTTGTTTTCCAACATTAGAAAAAGTGTTACATTACCAGTAAAGATATTCATATGCATAATGAAGGTGGATAATGATTTATATGCAAATATCTAAATTTAATTTTGTTGACTTTAGGGTTTTTTACTGTCCAATTTTCATGTACTGTAATGTTTTCCTCTTTGAACACACTGAATTTTTCAATGCTATTGCATTAGGACTTATGCTTTCAACTGTTTTAATACTAATTGAGATCAAAATTCAATAAATCTTTGGAAACATGTCTATTTCTGTAAAACTACCAAAATAAGCATGAGAACACAACCTGGTAATTCACAGGGACTCTGAAATATCAGCAGTGCCTCACTTTCTGAGCATCTAGCTTAGCAATAATGGAAACATTTTTCTTTGCAGTGTCACAGCTCTTCTACTGTTCTGCTTTTTCTTTGCATGATTTTATGGGAAATTACATTGCTTCTGGGAGTACATTTGTACTGTGTGTACTCTACCTTGGGCTCTCCACTTCATAAATCAGACCTAAATTTTTATCAAAGATGATGTCAGTTCATCTCTCACCTTTATTCCTTGGCCAAGACTCTCAAGAGAATTAATATCTAGACCTTCCTTGCAGGCCTGCAAACAGGAAATCACTTTCTGACTCTCAATTTTCCCTGGCCTGATAGTAAGACTGGCCAGGCTGCCATGGAAATACTGAGCAAATCTGGGCTTGGTGACTTCACCTCCTGCAAGAAAGCAAATACAAAATGATTATTGATACCAATGCACAAATCACACATCTAACAATTCACTTTATGTTTTAACACATTTAGAGAATTTATATCCATTTTAGCCAAGTGTGTTTGAGATCCCATTTCCTGTGGTAAATGGAATGTCTTTGTGGGTTGTTGGGTGGTACCTGGTAGCAAGCCTGTCTTTAAGATACTTGTTTTTCCAGGACTATGTTCAGGTGTTTATAAAGCTGTGGCAACAAACTCTGAGACGAACCATAACTTCCCAAATGTGTACAAGAAAGCACATAATTTAAAAAAATTTACTGATTAATTTCTTTAAGTAATCAAACACCAATTAAAGAAATGCTTAAGGTCCAGTGTTTATTTATACAGAAACTGTATTTGCAAGCATTCTATTACAAGATCACTTGCTGTGTTTTTTGGAGAAGAAAGGCAAAGGTATCTCAAGTTCTCAGTCATGGCTCTGTGAAAGCAAATACTACACACCCTTACACTGCCTATAACGAGCTGTCTCTCAGGGTATGGTGTAAATTCCAGCAGTGACTGTGGGCCAATGCACAGCACTTCACTCAAAGGCTGACAGTGCTGCCCCTGGCCCAGAGTGGTTCATTTGGTGCCAGATTTGGTCTTGTCACTGTACCTTGTGTTAGAGCCTTCAGCCTTCACTCCAGGCAGCTTCAAAGGAACACTGATCTTTAGGAGCTGTCAATAAAATGTGATTACAGACTGCCTGCACCGGTGATCGTAGCATCTAAATTACTCTTGGGACATTCAGTGATTTACTCATCCTCCTCCAGGAGAATTTTTAGAGCTTGTCTTTCCTGCAGGTGTTAGATCTCACAGTGCATGTGAATTACTGCCTACCTTGAGCCTAGGAGGACTGAGGGAGCCACACAGCAGGGAGACATGCAGACTAATTGGATTAGCAGTTGCTAAGCTGTTGATAAGCTGTTGTAATTGGTAGATAACTCATCTCTTACAGTGTTTGTAGCTTTAGTGTCAAACAACCTGTTTTTGCCAGGCAAGTTAGCTCAAGCTTGAACTTTTAACTCAGAGATTTGTGTGTGGATTGGGATTACAATAGGGATGAAGAGGCAAACTGTCTTTAGGCTGCTCCTACCTAAAAGCCTGAACATCACTTCTTGTCTCTGCAGGATAAGCATTATAAAGAAGGCTAGAGTTATTTTATATAGGAAAGAAAGTATACACTGTTATACTGAGAGGAAAGAGATGTCCAACAGGCATTTTATTCTTAGAAGTAGATGGGTTTGTTCTTTTTTTCTTAACATTGCAGCATAAACTGCCTTTCTTTTTTTTTTTACCCCAAAGGAAGGTGCCCAGGAGATTATTCTTCTTCACTCATTCATTTGTTCATTATACAGAAAATTTTCCCTGGGTAGAATTTTCTTGAAGTTTCATAGAAACTTTAATATATGCAGCAGCTAAAGTTCAGCCTTTCTGATACTCACAAGACAATTATTTGGTACACAGGTAGTGCATTATGGGGACACTGACCTTTCAGCATAAATGTTGTTATATTAATCTGATTACATTGTCTTTAAAATACATGTTGCCACTAATACAGCAGCAATGTAACTGGACAGAAAAAGGTAAGCCAAATTTTAAAAAAAAACACTAAAAACCAAATCTCTCCCTAAAAAGCAGACAAGGAGAAAAAATACCAGTCAAGAATGTTCAGAAGAAAAAGGGATTTGTGTTTTGAAGCTCCACATTCTCATATCACTAACAGAATTGTGAAAACAACAATCTCCAAGGCTAAAACACCAACACTAATCCTGGAGCTTTGAAATGTAGAGACCTACAGTAATTCTGCCAGTAGGTTTTAATAGTTCTGAGGAGATGCAAAATAAGCAGTCTCAGGCTATCAGTTGCTATTTTTTTTTTTTTTAAAGCAAGTATTTCAAGAAAATGTGAGTGAAGAATAGCTGGGAGTAGCCAGTCTTGTATTACGTGAGTAGAGAAAATCTGCAAAGCCATGGCCATGGTTATGGCAAGCGATTCGGGCTGGGACAATTGCACTGGAACAACTCTGGGGACTCTGAGGGAGGATGCAGCCTGTCCCCAGCCTCAATACAGGAACAGCTGCACTTACTCCATTCTCGAGAATTTCCTGAGCTGTTCTAAACTCTTCTGAAGACAGAGGCTCCCCAAACAATCCACTCCAGTGGCCACTGATCCATGGACTTGGACATTTATTCCTAATAGGGAATGTGAGCTATCAAAATATAGCTATATCATCCCTTTGCCAGGCTAAACAAGGACTTTACATCTTCCATCTAACACTGTAGACTGTGAATATTGCTGCTGCTTTTCCTGGAACTTTAGCTATTATCAGAAGTACTAACCATAATCTAGTGTTCTTCTCATCATTATGTGTAAAACACAGAACATCCTGCTCATCCAGGGCAGTGTGAACACTAGCTTTTTCCACAGGAAAAAAACAAGAGCCCTTAAAGACAGAATACTATCTCACACTTTATTAGAAAAAAACCAGACTGCTAAATAAGCCTTCCACCTTTTACCAGTGCTAAAGACAAAATTACATACCTGCCGATTTAAACCTTGAAGGTGAACAGAGCTCATTATATCTGACTATTCTCACAGCTGCTTGTAATTGCAACATGTTGATATTTTGATATTCTTCTATCTCAGCATTTCAGAATCTTTCAGCTCAGTGGGGGATGTTCCAATCGCCGGTAATTATTAGATTGCAAAGGGACAAAATCCAATGCAAGAAAATTGGGAAGCAAAAACCAAAACTCACTCTAAAATTGAAGGAATGGCCTAAAGCCAGTTTCCTACAATCCTGCCTTCTAGCTTTGATAAAATGTTTTATTCATACTTGCTTTTCCTATATTAGTGTGTTTGAATGCTGTCTTTCCTTCTGCTTCTGCAATCCAATATTCTTTGAGTATTTGACCTCAGCTTGTCAGTGAGTAGAAATTTAAGCTAGGATGGCCAGTCTCCAAATCCTAGCCACTCTAAAATTCTTAGCTCTCAAGATTAGATGAGTATGAATATATTTAATCCAGCATGAACACAGCAATTCTACTGCATGTTTAAACACAGTGCATAACTGTACCTAATGCTCATAGTAATACTTTTACAGAATATTACCCAAATTCTTCTAAATACTGATTTTTCAAATAGAGACCCTTTGAACCTGAGTGTGATTCATTTCATGCCTGTGCAGCTTCCCACACAGCTGACAGGCAGCTCAGAGCCACTGGCTCTATTGGGCAGGAGGATGCTCAGTTCCACTGTCTGGATTTGACTCAGCACTGAAGTCACCACATGCTAAGAATCAACCGAAGAAAAGACAAAAGGTACTACCAACAACTCTTACTGCTTCAAGACACTTTGAACTTAACTCTTGGTTCTGACACCATACAGCCTAAGCAACAACATTGTAGGGATAATGAAGAGCTAAATAGATTACACAAGCCTCTGGAGCAACAATTGAGAGAACAAAGTGATAACGGCCTTGAGGTAATCCAAGTGTCCTAAAATTTACTCTACTTCTCTTTGTCAAGGTGCACTGAAAGACACAGTGACTTGTAACACAGCATCTCCAGTTTCTATCCAGAGGTCAGGCCATGCAGTTAACCTGGACTGCCTCAGCAAGTTCCAGGGGACTTTTTTGCTGTCAGGGTCTTTATGTCCTTTCTTGTAAGTGAGATACTGCTTAGGTACAGCTCACCTCCACAGACATGCTACCAAGATCTAAGAGAATAAGAAAACACACTCCTCGACTGTGTTACATGTTGTGTTTCACTCAGCTCTATGTTTATTGATTACTATGGATTAATATGCTGTGAGTGCTAATTCTTGGGGGACAGTTAAGTAGTTAAGACTTTGATGAATGATATGGCCAAGAGAGGAAAACAGAACCTTCCCTGCTGTCAGGGAATTAAGTTAATGTCTGTAACACAAAATAGACTGAAACTACACTACAGAACAACATCACTGATTCTCATAACAGGTCCTTGCATGAGAAATATTCAAAGCTACTGGGTTTTTTCCATTCCTTAAATGTAAATGTTGTGGTCACCATCACAGTTGTGAGGCAACACAGGCCAAAGTGTTATTCAGACCTTGATGATAAAATTGTGCATTTCTTTTCTCATCTAATCCAGCAAACACCTCTACTCCCAAAGTCTGGCAGATACAAGAGGATGGATTTTGGCTTTTTGGCATTAATTCAACCCTCGTAAAGGGAAGGTGGTGTCAACAGACTGTGGGAGGCATCCAGAGGAACCATCAGTAGATACAACATTGGAGAGTCCAGGGGAAATGGAAGAGTCTCAGGGTTCAGACTTTATGGGGTTAAGGTGCATTCATTAATGAAGCAGAGACTGTTTCCATGACACTTCTGTTTTTCATTTTGCATTGAGTTGATATAAGGTGTGACAGAATTTGATTACCATTGGATTTTAGAGTTGTTGGTTTGACTCCAGAGATGTGCTGTTTGCATTCACTCACCAGTCTCCAAAGAACAATCAGGCATGTCAAAACAAGTGACTTTATTGAGCTCACAGATTTTGTAGGCCTTTTGCCCTACCCCAATAATGAGCAAGTAATTATCAGGGCAGTCTAAGCCCAATGAGGTTTTCATGGGAAATGATGAATCAAGAGAACTTCCAACAGAGATGTGATTCTTAAGATATTATAGACTCTGGTTACTATACTGAGCCAGATAATTAAAGAACAATCGATTATTCAGGGTCCCAACATAAAGATTGAAATGAGTCTGGGAGCAGCTGCAAGACATTCTGGCTCTAAAGTCCTCAGTTCCAAGCCTCCAAATTTATGCCATCTTTTTGTTATGGCAGTTTAGGGAGCTGGGTTTAATTCCCTGATAAGTAGATTGGCTGTTAAACATGATGAAACCTAACACAGATTTCAGGAGAAGTCCCAATTAGTAACTTGGGTTTTTATACTCCCAGAGCTTCTCAGCACAAAAATGTTTT